AGTATGCCTCATATGCCGCCTCATATGCCGCCTCAGAGCTACTCTTCAGATCCAACTTTTGATGAACTATCACGGCAGCTCGCTTTTTCCGATTCTATGCGAAGGATATCTCGTGGTTCGACTGGGCAGCGGACACCGGGAGCTATGCGTATTGTTAAGCCGAGTAGTGCCAACAATAGTCCACAAGCTATGATGGCACGGCGGAGGACCATGATGAACGACAGCAACCTTGCTCAGCGACGTCAGCAGGCCCTGAACCAGGCTGTCATGCAGCAGATGCAGCAAGACTGCACATCCTATTCAGCACCAGAGGATCCCATTAAGAGGAATAGCCGACCAGTTAGTTGGCATCCGACTTCACATCTCCAGCAGCCACAAATGCATATACCTATGCCACAGCCGGATTTCTCCCAATATGTCGTCCCAACACCGATGTCATATCAGCAGAGAGACATCTATTCCGGATACCACAATCTACCACCAACTCCGGCGGTATACTCCGGGCAAACCTCACCTATATCCAGCATGTCACCGCTGTGCTTACCATACGCGGAATCTTCTCAAACTCATCCTACACCAACTTACATATCACATGATACGTGGAACCATACGCCGCAGTTTATGCCTAATTATACAGTGAACTCGAGCCCCGGCGAGTTGGAACCATTTCCATCTTTTGACAGTCAAACCTCATTCAACTGGGATAATACTCTTGGCGTTCATGACTTCAATTGTTGCACGGCCCCTCCAACGCCGGACGAGTTCCAGCCCATGCAACAACCACAACCAATGGTTGCTCCTGAGGAGTCCATACCATACCAATCGCTTGACGAGCCAGAGGAGGAAGGAGAAATATTAGTGGGCATGGGACTGTATGACCCACCATGCAAGACGGATGAAGATCCGAGCTTACACAACTACCGAACAACAACATCACAATTACTAGACACGACCTATAGAGGACGAGGTCACGGATGGAAATTAGAAGAGGCTTGGGAACCGCCAGTATCAGACGATGAAGAGGGAGATGACGAAGAAGATGACGAAGAAGACGAAGGAGAGAAAGAATAGGCTGCAGAGTAAACCTCAACCGAGCAAAACTGGATGTAATAAATCCAGTATTGGTTTCCGGGACAATTACCTAACAATTCCACCCGGGAGTGGGTGAGAGAGTGACAAAGAGATCTCTTGAGATCTTGGAAATTCTGTGCCTAGGAAAAGGACATGCATATCATGCATAGAAGACTCGTAAAAGATACCAATAGCTGGAACAAGACTAGTGTAGTTATGAAGCACTTAGCTTTGACCGTTCAAAAAAAAAATCAAGAAAATACTTGAGAATCTCGATTTACTGCAAGCATAATATGAACCAGTGACATGTCATTTGTAACGACTGGTTAGCCGCGGCAAGTGGTACTTTTAATGATAATGCTAGGCGTTGGACCTCAGATAGATAGAATTCATCACGACTCTGAAGCGTGCGTGTAAGTAAGTCTTGTAAGTCTTGTACCCAGGTATCCTTAAAGATCTAGGTTAGGCATATATGAGAACCAGCTCTGATAGGCCCAGACTGATTTACGTTTGTCGATATGCAGGGGACTAAGCTCGGGCCCATCAAGCTAAGCAGGGATCTCCAACGTTCTATTTGGGGCTCTGCGTCCAAACCGACGCTGCTGCGCATGCAGAAAGAAGGAGGAGGGTAGGTAGATTAGGTACGTAGCTACGTTCTGCCCCCCCCCCCCCCCCCCCTCCCCTCCCCTGGCCCGAGACGGTCCCATGTGGACTGTTCCCCACCCTACCCACAAAGATCCTCAAGTTAGGAGATCCATGTGGGGCGCTAACGAAGCTGTGGATATGGCTGCCATGCAGTTATGCTTGCGTCACATGTTGCTCTAGGAGGTTTCCCATGCACGGTTGGGTTTTAGTGGGCGCTTTTCTTTTTTTGTTTTTTTTTTCTTTCTTTCCCTTTCCTTTCGCAACTAGGTATGTATGTATCCAACTGGCTGGCTAGATCGTAACGGGGCGAAGAAAACTAATGCAATGGAACTAGCCGTTTGGGGACAATCCGGCCAAGTAATGTAATGTCCACCATAATATGTAATAATACATATTTCCCTGCCTGCCCCGCCCCCCTCCAGCAAGCAAAGCACAAAACCTCCTCCATCCGTCACGAGAAAACTATCGTGGACGATCCCGGCTAAGAATTTAGTAGCGGCCAGCCCTCTTTTTTCTTTTTTCTTTTTTCTTTTTTTCTTATCTGCATTTATTACTCGGTGCTACATACACGAACATTTTTTTCCGACTAAGCTGCCCTTGGCGTGTGTGCTGATTAATTACTTTTCGTGTCGCTACTTGCACGCGGCAGATCTACCTATAATACGGTAAGGTAATACGCTAAGTGAAGCCTCTTCATTTCAGTGAAGCCGTTTGCTTACTTCAAGAACTTGAGTCGGTAAGATTTGGCGAACATATGATGTCTAGTCCGTGCATGTCTCAAGTCTCTTGCCTATGACACAAGAGTTTGTCGGATACCTATTGAAGGCGGGCGAGATGCCCTAGCTAATAAAATCCAGGCGCTTCCGAGTTGGGGGGCTAAGTAAGTTAAGTTGGGTAAGTAGTTTTACGGAACGGAGGGAAGAGCGAAATAATGAAGAAAAGTGAAGATCTCTCTCCTCTATCACGTATACAGTTAGAAAGCCAATATGACAATATTCTATTATTCTGACGAGCTTAAACACCAGCTTCACCTATATGCCTAGGTATACAGTGAGTCATGCCGGCGTAGACGTGTCTAATCAGATAGTTATCGATAAAGTAGTACGTATTCCGTAATCGGAACCCCGCGTGCCCCTCCATCGCAATGATAAATCTTTAAGCTTCAGGAACCAAAGCTTTCCGTGTTGGATACTGGGTTCAACCATATACCAAAAAAGTTGAGCCATTGACCAGTAAATACTTACAAGATGTCGGCCCAGTAAGAAACTCAACCCTCCCATTACATATTTCTATCTTCTCATGGATTCTATAGGAAGGTATTGATGCTCGGAGCGGGTTTCGTAACCCTCCCTACGCTCCACATTCTGAGCGATGCTGGCATTGCAGTGACCGTTGGTATGGCAAATACATATCTCCCGAAACTTCTATACAGCCAATTGACCTATTCGAAGCTTGCAGAACCCTCGCATCGGCCCAATCCCTTTCTAAGGGAGTCAAACACGCCACCCCCATCTCCCTTGACGTGAACGACGACAAGGCTCTCGACGCCGAAGTTGGCAAGCATGACCTAGTCATCAGCTTGATTCCCTATACCTTCCATGCTACCGTCATTAAGTCGGCTATTCGCCAGAAGAAGCATGTTGTCACGACAAGCTACGTCTCGCCGGCGATGTTGGAGTTAGACCAGCAAGCCAAGGACGCCGGTATCACCGTCATGAACGAGATTGGCTTAGGTAAGTTCCTTCTTCAATGCTTGCTTCCTATGTCTACTGAAAACTAACCGACTGTCTTATAGATCCCGGCATTGACCACTTATGTAGGAATACCCGCAAAATGTGAACCGAGTATACAATGCTAACCCTTTCAGATGCCGTCAAGACAATCGAGGAAGTACACAAGGCTGGGGGCAAGATTCTAAGCTTCTTATCTTACTGCGGCGGCTTGCCGGCTCCTGAAGACTCAGACAACCCTCTGGGTTATAAATTCAGCTGGTCCTCTCGTGGAGTTCTCTTGGCCTTGAGAAATCCGGCCAGGTACTGGAAAGACGGCAAGGTAGTAGACGTTGCATCAAAGGACCTGATGAGTACTGCGAAGCCGTACTTCATCTACCCCGGTTACGCTTTCGTTGCCTATCCGAACCGAGACTCGACTCCCTACAAGGAGCGGTACAATATTCCAGAGGCACAGACCATCATCCGTGGCACTCTCAGATACCAGGGCTTCCCCGAGTTCATTCGAGTGCTGGTCGACATCGGTTTCTTAGATGACACCGAGCAAGACTTCCTAAAGCAATCCATTACCTGGAAAGAGGCTACACAAAAGATCCTAGGCGCTTCCGCAAGCAGCCAAGGCGACCTCGAGTCTACAATTGCGTCCAAGACCACGTTCGCTTCACCAGAGGAGAAGACACGAATCATTAGTGGCTTGCGATGGATTGGTATCTTCTCGGATGAGAAGATTACCCCCCGAGGTAACCCATTAGACACTCTGTGCGCGACCTTGGAGAAGAAGATGCAATACGAGGAGGGGGAACGAGACTTCGTAATGCTGCAGCACAAGTTCGAAATCGAGAACAAGGACGGCAGCCGGGAAGTTAAGACGTCAACCCTGTGCGAGTATGGCGATCCCAAGGGCTACAGTGCCATGGCTAAGCTAGTGGGTGTGCCTTGCGGTGTAGCAGTCAAGCAGGTGCTCGATGGTACTATCTCCGAGAGGGGCATTCTTGCTCCGATGAGCTCGAAGATCAACGACCCCTTAATGAAGGAGCTAAAGGAGAAGTATGGCATCTTCCTAAAAGAGAAGACCATACTGTGAGAAGTCGGCTATGTCGGCTGATTTAGCTACAGCGATGTAGTGGCAGTGGTAGTGCGGTACAAAAAAGGGGGCTTGACTAAACCTTGAAGTGTGGCCGTGAACTTTTAGTGTTTTCAAAAAGGTAGAGAAAAAAAAAGGTGGGCTTGTATGTATGTCAGGAACTTAGCTAAGATATCCATAAATCGATAGAAAGGATACTACCTAATTGCCTTTTAAGAATTGTTTTCAGCTGCCATACCCTGCCGAGTATCCAAGGTATTAGTTAGTTACCTAGGTATGTACGCTAGTAACAGGAAGAAGGATAACTTGGTTTGACTGGTTACCCTTGAATAGATGGAAGATACTAACATATGCGCGTATTTTTAGTCCGTTAACTGGTCAAGTACCTTAGGTTAAGTTAGGTACATAAAGGAAACCCAAAAAGCGGTGTTTTCCGAGTAGCGAGGTGGGGCAATTTGCATAGCGAAAAGCTACAATTCTATTTCTATTCTATCCAATGACTCGAGACTTCAAGGTCTAATACTTACTTCCATGTACTTATCTCTGCGGCCAACTCCTAAAACTGGTTATTCGAAAAGATCGCCCTGGTTTAAGTTACAACACCCCCCTGCTGCCGCAACGGCAAGACTTGTCGGTTAGAGCCTAGACGACCGACCGATTCGTCACCTACTTGTGGCTATTGTTCCGTCGGATCATACATATATATATATATATATATCATGGTGCAGTATATCCACACGCCTTGGCGGGACCGCGGCGAACTGCTGCGTGTTCGTCAGCAGTTTTACCCAGCTGGAACTGGCAGCACAGCCGATTCCCGTGACGAGGGGCATGGTGGTGAGAAAGGGAGAGCCGAGGAGGCGGCGAAGCAGCACGCCGTCTCGCGCGTCTCCATGTGGATGCAGCGCGGCGGCTGTCCCCACTTGGTCGAGTCTACCGCCCTGCTCGTGGCCGCCCTCCTAAGCGACGTCCGCGAGACCAGGGCTACTTCATCATACGCTATTCGCGCCGCGTACGCCGCGGCTTTTAGTCGGTACGTATAGCGTCCCTCGTTTCCTGCATAGTTGTCCCTAGCTCGTTAGTGGATTTGTTCGGAGTATCCGGAGAGGGCAATTTAGACTCGTGGCGGCGGCCCACGTGGTAGGGCCGGTAGTTTAGCTGCCGTGCTCGTTTGACTTAGCCCGGCTAGTTAGGCTACACCACTGTACTTGATAATTGGGTTTGGGCTGTCGAACTATATCCGGCTAACGGCGTCCTGTCTAATTATAGCTTTGTAACCGGTCTCTTAGACAGCCAGCAGGACAAGCAGCGCAAGATGAGCATGTACTCGATCGCCAAAACGATCGGGTTGCCGGCGACTTTTGTCGAGCTGCGGCACCAAGCTACGCATGAGCAGTTGCCTTCTCTATCAAAGCTCAGGACTGCGGCGAAGAAGGCGCTGGTCTGGATATGGGACTACTACTGGAAGAATCTGCCGGGCGAGGACGGCAGTACTGGTGAAGACAAGCCAAATGCTTGCCGGAGTTTATTATTAAGGTATCTAGGTGAGGACTCGACAGTACAGGCGAAGACGCTGCAGAAGCAGTTGAAGCAGTGGGATGAGACGGTCTTGCTACAGAACTTAGCGGAGATCGAGGATTCGTCCGAGGACCCGAAGATCATCTCCCGGTGCCTACGGTTGTCGCAGGTTATACTCGACGGAGACTTTACGTCTTCGTCGATTGTGAAGAAAGACGCGGAAAATGTGGCTGCTGCGAAGACGTTGGATGACGTTAAGGCTGATATACAGGCGTTGGACGAGGAGCTTGAGGCGGTAGAGGGTGTTGGTAGCATATCTGAAGCTGTTGAAATGCCTACACAGATGCCGTCGAGTCAGGTAAGGGGGTGGTCGAGATATGAAGGCCCGTGGAAACCGAAGCCGATTGGGGTTGTGTAGGTAGGGCATTTTTATATTATTTAGGATATTATCTCTGCGTAGTAATTGAGATGATGTCCCCCAAGTAATATACTTACGGCATAGATAATCTATATGTGTATGTGATATTGTTCTATTTACTACCTAGGTAGGCTTTAAAGCTGTGTATATCTAGTTTGAGTCGGGATTGACGGTCGTGACATCTATTAATTTAGAAATAAGTTTTATTCCTATTCTCATGGCGATAGTCTCAACTATATTATTCATATGATAGAGTATGTACTAGTTACATAATCTATAAAGTATAAAGTAGTGGTTGCGTTGAACTTCATAAGCTGAGTGCTCTATACTTGTGACAAATCCAAGTAACCTGATAGGTTATCAAGAATCTTGACACTACTTGCCAGCTGGTATCTTTCAATTCGTAGCTTCGTGCCGGGCCGTCTAATAACAAATCGACGTCATGGATATCGTCGGGTTTATAGTTATGAATCTCCAAAATACGTTTGTAAGCATCGGAGTATTAGTCGAATCACGAACTATAGCCACCTACTTGCCCGCCTCATGAACCATATGAATTACCTTGCAAGAACAAGACCTCTACTAGCTACCCGGAGAACAGGCACCTCGACCGCGGCTGTAAGTTATTAGGTGCACTTGTTGCCATCAAGGGACTCGCTGTTAACTCCGCTGTAGCTTTCCTTCACACGCAAAATGCAGATCCAATCAATTCCTATGTGTAAGTCATACTACATATACTTAACCTAGTCTACCTCTTAATCTTATATCTGGTGGTTAAAGGGGGGAAATATAGTGGCTCAGTACTAAGACATTTATAGGGACGGGGACGAGCGACAACTACGCCTATCTCCTCGTCGATGACAAGTCCAAAGATGCCGTCATTATCGACCCCGCGCATCCCGAAGAGTGAGTTAGAGCTCATCGTACGCACGCATCCTATAGTGAGTGTAGTCTAACCTGGAGATTTAGGGTTACTCCCGTCTTGAAGAAGGCTATCCAGGATGGCAAAATCAATCTCACAGCTATCGTGAATACACACCAGTGAGTATATTTCCATACCACTTCTGGTTCTTCTGACGCTAACAACGCTTACAGCCATTGGGATCATGCGGGTGGAAATGATCAGCTTGTTAGTTTACATTGTACCCTCTTGTATATATGCGTTATATATACAATGTTTTCATATGGCACACGGTATTCTAATCTGAACGCCTACGTAGAGAAGTGATCTAGGCACTCCGAATCTCCCTATCATCGGGGGTAAGGACTGCCAGAGCGTCACACAGACCCCTGAGAACGGCAAGGTATTCAAACTCGGGAGCATTGATGTCAAGGCCCTCTACACGCCGTGTCATACGCAGGACAGCATCTGCTGGTATGTAAAAGACGGTGACGATAAGGCCGTCTTCACTGGAGATACCCTATTCCACGCGGGTGAGCATGCGCATTACTTCGCGGTCTACGACAGGCATAGAAGACCCGAGACTAACAAGGCCTAGGTTGCGGAAGGTTCTTTGAAGGTAATGCAAAGGAGATGCATACAGCCCTAAATAAGACGCTGGCTTCCCTCCCGGATGATACCAAAGTCTACGTAAGTATTCATTTGTTCTACGACAGGCGAGCCTGTTGAATATTTCACCTATACTAACACTGGATAGCCCGGTCACGAGTACACCAAGTCGAATGTCAAGTTCGGCCTCTCGGTCCTGCAGAATGAGGCTATCAAGAAACTACAGGCGTTCGCGGAGAGCAACAAGGAAACCCAAGGGAAATTTACAATTGGCGACGAGAAGGTAAAGCATACTATCTCAATTGTGATCAAAGGGTTGGAGCTAACGGATTTGGCGTAGCTGCACAACGTGTTCATGCGAGTAGAGGTAAGTGACGAAGGCCCGAGAACGACAGGATGATAAAATGCTGACGATGGCGAAGGATCCCGAGGTCCAGAAGGCTACCGGCAAGACGGATCCCGTGGAGGTGATGGATCAGCTGCGGACTATGAAGAATAACTTCAAGTGAGTAAGTAATAAACGCTGTTGGTATAGGTAGTAACTCAGATATTCATTGATGCTGACGAACTTAGATCGCCACCAGATAGTAAGATTTAAACATGGAATATGTGCTTGTATGGTCACGGAAGCATGTACACCTTACGTCCACAAGTAGAACAACTGTCACTTGTAGTATATCTGACAATTGAACATAAACGTCATGATATATTACTATTCCTAGGTCCATAGGTATCTAACCCAGCAAAGTATTCAAAAGGAAAATGTAAATTTCTCCAGCAAGCACCAAGCCTCAGCCCATCTTCAACGTGCTAGACGCTAAATAAGCAACTTGCGGAACGCCGACCTATAAGAATAGGACGACGCATATTGTTCATCTTGCTTCACTGTCCACACTTGCTCGCTGTTTGTATATCGAGACGGCAAGCTCTAGCATATTTAGAAGCTGGTATGTAACCTAGCGGCATACCTAGGTATCAATCGATATATGTCCTGTCCCGGCATGTCCGCATTCCCTTGCACGATCCCTGACCTAGGGTTTCCACCGCCTCGCGATACACTGCACTGCGTTCGCTTACTTACTTTACCGTGATTTCCCGTCGAAACTGTATTATTGTTTTTGTAGATGGCAGTTTGTAGCTATAATGCGATGTAGCAGTATAATGCCATTTCGACGGGATGGATGATACTGGCTGATATGCGCTGTATCATACTGGGGGTTTTTTTTTTCTAGTTGTGACGGGAGTAAGATATTGGAAGGAAGAAGAGAAAGTGCAGAAATTTTCGGCGATTTAAGTAGGAACAAGTGGGCTGTTTGTCAGCTGCTAGCGGCTGTTAGGTTTGTACAGTGTTTTTACTGTGCGTAGCCCTTTTGACAGCTCTTACATTCAAAACAGTTATACACTTATTTTGGTATTGAATAATGAATTTATACTGATCGTTTATTATAGTCCATTCAATTAATGATCAAGTCAAGTCTTTTTGTATTCATAAGCCATACGTTGTGTTTCAACGCGAATTTTATTGCTTTCGATGTGATACCCATTTCGCCTGGGAATCAAGTATCTAGGAGGCAGCTTATAGAGGACGACATTAATAAGGTCATAGTCTATATTTATCTTAATATAAAGATTGGTATATATGCGGCTTAAAACTAGTCCTAAGGCGTTATCGGCTAGATCCCCCTTGTCCTCCTATGCTCCTCGGCTATATCCTACGCTCTTCGAGTGTCAACATCCGTAGAAGTATATCAATATGATCCTATTCGTTTCGTTGCGGCACCTTCGGTACGAGCCACCAGCTGATTCCGCCGACAACGAACAGCGCTAATACGATGGGCTGCAATACAGCTACGCCTGCGTTCGTCGCTATTAAACCCGTAATGGAGGGGAACAGAGCGCCTCCGGCTTGCGCGAGTACGAAGATAAAACCTGAGAGTAGGCTGTTAGTCTCTAAGCGGTCAAAAATATAAATAACTACGTATAAAGGGGTCTGTCTTACCCAGAGCGGCGGGCTGTGATTCCCGAGGGTAGAGCTTCGAAGCGACTGACATGCCCTAGACAGAAGAAAAGTAGGTTAGTGAACCAGCTGACAGAAAGAACAATATACTATCATAACCAGTCGTCTAAGGAAAAAAGTAAGTCCCCAGCACCAAAACTCACAGTAGCAAAAAACGGCCCAGTAAAGAACCCGATAAAACTCAGCGCCACCGCGCTCCCAACAATATTCGGCTGCAGCCAAAACACAAGCTGCAGCGCAACGCACAGCACGCTATACGCCAGCAACATGCGCTGCTCGCCATACCGAAACGTCGGCTCGGCCAACAGCAACCTACCCGCCAACATCCCGCCGTAAAACCCAGTCGGCACGTACCCGATAGCCGAGAGGTGGCCGCCGCGCACGGTAGTCAAGAACTCGACGACCCAGCCGCCGGCCGTGAAGTTGGCGCCTAGCTCGAAGAAGTAGAACATGCTGATCAGCCAGAGGGTCTTGGACTGGAGCAGGCGGGCCATGTCCGTCATAGCGGCGCGGTTGCGTTTCTGTCGTGGGGCTGTGTCTGTGGTGGTGGCGGTGGTGGCGGTGGTGGTGGTGGTAGTGGTGGCGCCGTTCAACCGGCTCCAGAGCGAGTCCCGAAAAGCGACGGCCACGCCGGCCACGTTTAGGACCGAGATCCCGATTAATACCAAGTACACGCGCTTCCAGCCGTCGATGGCCATGGTGTTGGTGCTCGTGGCGATGGCGGTGGCGATGAGCGGGCCGATGAAGCAGCCTAGGGCGTAGCATCTAGACGGTGGAAGTTAGTAAGTTAGACGTTCATTTCTTATGTAAACATTAAATCTAACTAGTCTATAAAGAACTCCTGCCACTTCTAAGTAATGATGTAACTAGAAACTCGGTAAAGGATATAATATAATATAATGTAACTAAGCGAAGGGCAGACCTGGAGGTACATACGCGTGTATAAAGCTAAGCCAGCGATGCGGCACGTTCTTGAGCCCGCTGACGAACGTGTTCGAGTGCGAGTCCTGGTACGCCATGCCGAGCGCCTGCAAGAAGAACGTGATGCAGAAAAGGGGCAGCGGGCTCCACGGCCGCAGACAATGCGCTAGTAGCTGCAGCACGGCGCCGACGCCGAGGAGTTGCCCGAGAGTCATGTGTGCCGTCATGATGGGGTTAGTAACGGCGGCTAGGAGCCAGCCGGCGAAGGTAGTTCCGTAGCTAGATGTTGGTTAGCACTCGGCTCGGCTTTCTAAACAATCTAGGTGCAATACTTATTTATACGTAGGTAGGTAGGTAGGTAGGTAGGTAGGTAGTTACATATAGAATAAGACGTGTTGCTTATGAGTTACTTACATGATAGCAATCTCGCCCGTACCAATCCCGAAGCTAGAAATAATATACGGGATCAAAGGCCCCAGCGTGCCGTCGTTAACCCCGGCGCAGAAGAACGAGTACCCCGCAACGACCAACTTAAGAAACGGCGTCGCGGGCTCGCTTCTAGCGATACCTACATCGGCCGGGACGTCTTCCGCGGGCGAAGCTTCCGCGTCTTTGGACGGAGGACGGCGGAGCTCCGTCATGGGGTAGACCTCTGCCTCGGCGAGCGAGGTCTGTGTCGTTGACATGGTGGCGGGGGGTGTGTTTGATAAAGAAAGTTGACTATAACTAGGTACCTAGTTTATAAAGAAGATAGACGGGATAGTCTGTCTCTATGACATATGTAGAGGACCTGTCCATCTATCACCCCTCTTAATGAGAATTGCCGCCGAAGAAGGCGTCTACTTATTTATCTACATTCGCGTCTTCATACAAACCCCTGACCTACTTTCCTCCCTCCCAACCTCTTTCGCATCCCTGAGTTCCCGTCGGTTGAAGGTCGGAAGAACTTGCAATCGACGAATTGGAGGCGCTCCCGCTTTAAGTTCCGCGGACCGCCTTGCCGGGGAAAGCTGTGCTTAGCTCTCTGATTGGATAATTGATGTATTCCCCACGGGGTACGGCAGCTGTGACTTGGAGTAAGTCAGAAGCTAGCTAGCTACGTCCTTGTATATCTTTAAAGTAGATTTACTAAGAGTATTGTTCATGATTACTTTGCTAGGTCACAGCTAGGACTTACAACTAGAACCTAGGCATAAATAACTTGCGGCTCGTGATAAAATCGTAGACTCTATCATCAACAGCTAAGCGACTCGGGGTTAAATAAGCCATACATTAAATTCCTTCCTAGAGAACTGATATGAATTAAACACTAAACCAATCCCCTAGGCAACATAGCTGTAGAGTATGGTAAATATTCGCTCTACGGTACGTACATAGTCAAGCTGATCCGCTCTCTTATCACTCTAACCATGCAAAACCCTACGCATTGCGCTGCGGCGGAAGTCCAGGGGAAGACGGGGACGCCTGCGCACCTCGCAAATTGATAGACCCGATCCTCGACACGATGTTGTTCCCGACGGCATCTACCGCTCCTCGGGGAGATGTTAGGGTCGGGCCTTGGGCGGCAGTTTCCTGCACCTTAAACAATTTGATCGCCGTTCCGTTCCACACGCCAACGGTGCCCTTCGAGACCTGCATTTCGCTTGCGAAAACGAAGCTCCAAACCAGCGATTCGTACCAGCCTAGGGCTAGGGGCGACCACTCAAACGAATGCACTCTAACCGGGGAAGGCTCTATGCCGACCAAGTCCGCCTCTTGGATAGCCTTTAGAGTTGCGGACGATGGTACCTCTGCCGTCAATCCTTGCCGATTAATTAACACCGTTAATTGCTGGATGACGGTGAGGATCGTATGGAGAGGAAGCTCGGGAAGCCAACTCTCGATCCAATCCGCCGAAGGCTCGAAAATACCAGGTGCAGGTTGAGCGGCTACCGAATAGCTACTGAGACTCGTCACGCTATTCTGCCGGGAGAATGTCGGCACGCCCGCAGGCATTTTCCCCCTAGCTTTCTCCGACATTCCCCTTAATTGCGTTGGTACTGCATCTTCTACATCGACAACAGAAGAGGCCTGAGAAGGATTCTCGCTCGGACTCGATTGCGCTGGTGTCGGTCGGTCATCGTCCTCCTCCTCCTCGCTATCATCCTCGGCGTCGCCGATAGCAAACGTCGTATCCTCCTCTGGCACATTGCTTAGCGTTGGTGTTCTTGGTTGTGTTGTAACGGGGCTGCGCAGACTCTCGACGGAACTACGCGTAGAGCTTGCATCCAATGGGTCCAGTGACTGTCCAGTTTCCTTCCTTCGACGATTTCTTCGCTCGAGTTCCTCTTGGCCACTCTCAAGCGTGAAAGTTCGTAACGCCTCGAAGCGTTTTCTATTCTTCAATATTAGGTAGATAAAGTGAGGATTCTCTGTATTTCCTGTTAGAAAGCTCTGATAGTATGGATTGATAAGCTACTGACTCTTGTATTGATGCTCAATCAGAGCGTTCATCGACTCCAGGAGAGATGCGAGGAGACCGTGATTGCTATCATTAGCAAGAAGAAATGAAGGGGAGGACATCGAATTGAACAACTGTAGTAGTTTTGAACCCGTCGTGCCGTTGATGCCCTCTAGATAAGCAGCTATGTTGTTAATCACGGCAAGTAGCGCCGGGTATATGGCAGAAAGCTTGCCCTGGCTTCTTGTGATGAGGTTGTATATGGACTTCATGAGAGTTAGCCAAAATCACTCTTAGGAGTATACGATCTGCTTACCTGTATCAAGAAATCGGCATATGTGCCTTTAAACCCAGGGATTCGAATGACAACTGGCAATGTTTCCTGTCCTTCGAAGTGCTTGTTAAGATTGAGGCCAAAGTTCTTCTCGACACTCAACGTCTGTAGCAAGAATGCGCACATTCGTACGACGCCTTGTTTTGAGGCATCTGTCTTATACTCGGTGGCGTAGAAAAGGAGGAGGATAACAAAGTCGTGTGCTCTCTGCGTATCGATCATAAAAGATCTAAATCGTTTGTTGCATTGGGTGATCTCCCAGAAGAGCATTATTATCTCGGGAGAGAATCTAGCCGTAGTTTGGGTCCCGGGAATATACGAGATGTTGGCCTGAATAGGTTGATTGAGTATCCGCGTCATACCATCAACAATGAATTGGAAATCTTGGGGGCGATGTAGTCTTCCGAGGAAATGGCGATAATAATTCTTGGGCGCAGAGCCAGTAGCGGGTTCGGGTATTGGGTAGATAAGGGTGACTAGCAGGAACTGTAAGGTATAGGCGATGAGGATCTCCTTTGGATCCTTGAACATAAGAGTGTTATAGGGCACACGCCAGCTTGCTGGATTGTATTTGAGGGTCTGGGAAAATTAGTATTTGGAGAATATGTTTTATTAAGAGCGGATCTTACAGTATTCAATAGGGAACACAATACGGATAAGACGACTTGCTTATCCGGACATGTGCAGATATATGTCAGAGACCTGGTCCCCCTAGTTGGTAGTATGTTGGGGGACATATACATGCTCTGACCTGCCAGGGTCAAGAGAAGGCGCAGGATCTCGCCTCGATTACTCTCGTACTCCTTTGTCGTAGGTACAGCTGTGTTGCAGCCCACGCCGCTCTGCCAAATGGCATAGGTGACCTTTGGCTTGCCATGGGGCTGCTTCGGAACCGTCAGGTCGGAGAAGAAAAGGAGGTCGATGAGAGTATCGATAAGCTCCTCTGCTAAGGGCTTTGCCTCCTCGAACTCGTCAGCAGGGAGCGGCTTCGCATCTTCCTCCGCTTCATCGAAGAGCACTTCGTTCGCGATAGTAGCTCGCCTCGTCCGCTTTCGCCTGGTACCCCAGAAGAACTTATCTTCCCAGCCTTGCAGGTGGTCTACTTCGTATAGGTAGGGCAGAACACGGGTAAGGATGCGGATGCAATTCAGGGCATCACGCTCGGGTGCGAACTCGGGATCGGGGAAGGAGGGATGATGTCGCAATATAAAAAGGCGAGACGTCACAGCGAGTATGAGAGTTTCTAGGTTTTCAATTGCTCTATCGCGAGTTCGGCGAATATCTGCAGGCGCAAAGAGACTAAAGATGTCTTCAGAGGACTCCGGGAGCTCCCAGAACTGCGAAGGATTAGAGAACAAAGAAAGTCAAGTAAGGATATAGGACTACTACTACTAACAGAGGTCCAATATGGGTCATCGGCAGGTATATGTCGCTCTTCTGACAACCTGAAGATGCCCTTTTTGAATACTAGCTTGGAGTCGCTGGCACCCATCGCGATGAAGTCATACCATGTCTACATCGAGCGACGTTGGTTGAATCGGAAAATGGATTTATGTAACCCAGTTCTGCTCTTGAGGAAAAGCCGAGGCCGAGGATTTGTTGTTATGGTACCTATTCTAACTTTAGCGACTCTGATCGAAGTCTAGAATCTCGTCATGGATTAGAGTTGCGGCTTGCGGCTTGCGGCTTGCGGCTTGCGATTTGCTGCGTTGCATTCTGTTAACTTCAAACGCGCTACGTACCGTGAGATGTACATCTCATATACCCGTAGGTACGGGGTACGGGGTAGGTATAGGTACCTAAGTACCTATTCACGGACCCAGATATGAAACCTGGTTATCAATGATAAAGCCCCTTATCGACATTAGCTTATAGGCTGATTATCTACGGTTATCAATGACATGACATGAACTGAGAACATCTGATGTTGTATTTGCATTCTAGTTAATTATATTTATTTATTTATTTAGTTATGTTTTGTTTGAGATGCTTGCCTTCAGCCATGTACACTTATAGACGGGCCATTGATCCCACGAACATCAGAACGTACGGCTAAAATGCCTTTCTATTATCCATCATTCTTATTAACAAGGTATCATCGACTATAGGGAAAACAGACAGGTACCTTATATGGATCATTAGTTACCCTCTCACTCTCCCAACCCCTTTAAATGATAACCGTAACAAACTAAACATCAAGTCGTATTCTACAATGGTTATTGTCTTTAGTTATCAGGCTGTTATCTAGCCGTGTCATCGCTCGCCTCTCGGCGCGGGTATTCTCGCTCATCGGCCGGTGGTGCAAGATGCGCTGGACTTGGTACCTTTGAAGCCGGGGAAGCAGTTTTCCCAGGGATGTCCTCATTGCTCCCTACAGCCGTCTCATCACTAACTTCTCTATGTGGTTGGCTGCGCTCTTCGCCCCTTGGCGGCGCTAGAAGTGCTGGAACTGGTTGCGCCGGCGGAGATGATGGTTGTTCACCGGTAGTGTCGTCGTGAACTACCACCCGCTCTAGATCGGCTACCGCTGGCGCCGGTGTCGGTGACGCCGTAGGCCGTAATCGGGAATCCGACCGCAAAATCGAGGCGGCTACACCTCTTACGCCTGTAGCAATGATTTCGGGTCGATCCCAAGCTAGGAGTCCCGATCTTCCTGTCGCGCGGTTGACATGGACTACATCGTATTTCGCCTTGGCCCAACTAGGGCACACATAGCAGTCCTTTACCTCGTCCTGCATCAGCTCGATAGCCTCTGCTTCCGTGTCCTCGTTCGTACTAGGCTCATCGCCTAGAAATACTGTGATTCCGATTTTCGGTCGTGAACGAACTTTCTTATCCACTTCCGGATACCGTGCGCAATGTGCCCAGAATCTCATGGCTGACTCTGGACCAGGGAGCCAAGAAAGCTGAGTGAAGTTAATCACTTCTGTAGGTGCAAATTCTCTCTTGGGATCAAGCAAGCGGAGACTCTTCAGCACGAAGACCAACAGACCCGTTGGCGAGTCACACAGTGCATATGCCAAGGTGTTTGGCTCCCGAAGACCCAATTGGTTTAATCCGAACTGAGCGGGGGTTGGTGTTTTCTTCGACGAACGAGCAAGGCCGTTTCGTTTAAGAGCAGAGAAATCCTCTCTACGGTAACCAAGAATAGGGGCACGAAATAAACTCGCAACGGACCATTTTGCCCACTCGACCGGTGCTTCTCGGAGCTTCGGTCGTGCCAAAGGGGGTGATATCAAATGAGCACCCAGGCAAGAATCGGAATAATGAGTCACTAGATAATTGGCAATTTTAAAGTCGATTTCTGCAGGTGAATCGACTCCAGAACTTGCATTCGTTATCAAGTAATGAGGATATGAAAGCCGGCTCATTAACGAGTTCAAGATCTCTGCCGTGGATGAGATCATCGGAGTATTATTCGGAAGCGCGTCGCTAAAACCCAAGCCCGGTAGAGCGGGTATAACTAGGTGGAAGGGCTGATTATTCGCGACATCTTCCGGTTCTGTGAAATGCTTGACGAGGTGTCCAAAAGAGAGGTTTGAGAAAGGGAATGGGGGTATCAAAAGAAGGGGTATCGCATTTGAATAAGAAGAACGAGCGTGAATGAAGTTAATTCTGACGATTGCTTCATATGAAGGTATCGAAAATCCGGTGCGAAATTGAGGCAACTCGGTATTCAAGAGATCTTCTTGCGCTCTCCACGAATACTGCTCCAACCTATTTATTTATTAATTTTACTGACGCTGCTAATACAAGTCATAGATATTTGGGGATAGTTATACAAGGTCTGTATAAGTGCATTCTTTCAAATCTCAGCTTAAGGGGTTGAAGACTAACCAGAAGTCAATCAGTGGTTCTATTTGAGACTTTGGCTCCCACCAATCTTTCGATTTCGGTTCCGAGAACTCATGAGGCAGTCGAGTAACTTCAAGTTTCTGTTTTGTGAGCTCTAGATATTTTGATGATACCTATGAACAAGGCGTCAGCCACACTTTCCGATTTGATTGAGATTCGATAAGATTGGATTGTAAGTGGCTCACATGTATTCTGTAGGGCTTAATTTCATCAGCACCGCCAGCGGGGACAGCCTCTTCAACCTCAGCAGCAGCCATTTTCAAGTATAAATTACTATCCCAATATGCACGAGTATCACGTCAAAAGGCAGCACAACATCGATTAAGGTAACGAGGGAATGAAAAGACAAATAACGAGAGACGCATAAACAAGTCACTGACGAGAAATCAAAATTAGTACTTCATATTATCTTCATGCCGTCCCATCACTTCCGAGAGATCCTGTTTAAATTATACTTCGTTTTAAGGGATCTAAGTGGCTTGACTTTATGTGGCTAAAACTTTTCGTAGTACACCCGAAAACAAGGCAAAAACAACAGGGATGATACTAGTTACGGACCAATTGAGATTGAAGTCGACCCCGAATTCAGATCGACAAGGGTGTAAGAAGGTCTCGACTCTTAAGAGTGAAGTGGCGGTGCATACGTATACCTCCTAGACTCTAGAGAAGTTGGAATGATCGTCCTGTTTCAGTTGCATTGATGAACACCCTTCCTGTCACGTTCTCTATGCTAACTTGAACGCTCTGTCATAACTCATATTAGACGACATATGAAATGAAATACATGAATAAGAGATTCGAACGCGTTGAGGTGGTAAACCTCTCCCCTTATTATCCTCACCACCACGCATAACGCTAGCATCTGAGGCTTCCCCATAGCTACCTAATTTCGTAGAGCCTATTTAAGGCTTAATAGAGCTCCAGATGGCGCAAGCAGCGGTGCAACGGTTGAACGCGACAGCACCCGACAGCTGACTCAAACTCGAACGAAGGTCCGATGGAGACCTGCTAAGGTGTGCAAAAATATTGAGCCCTCCAAGTTCGCTTAAAAACCCACCATCCCGGATAGTAGTGCAAGAGCTGAGCTCGTTTGAATTGAGCGGCGAATAGGGTCTCCTCCGAGACATTAGTATAACATCAGTATAATAATACAAGGTACTCTGCGTGACAGAAAAAGTCTCTCGGCCTATTGCAGAGATGGGGCTGCATCAACCGCATAGCAAAAAACGAGACAGCAAAGTTGGGCTCAAGCCTTGCTTTCTACATCTGTCTCATCGTCCTCGGTACCTGAGTACCAACCCCAAAACCACCTGATATAGAAAATAGTCTCCATCGTAGCGAATATGCTTATGATAATAATGACAGCGATCTTAGTCCTTCGGGTCATGCCCAATCCTTCGAAGCTGAAGCCCATAGGCGGGATTTCATCGGGCTGCTGCTTCGAAGGGTCGTTAGCAGGCTTCTTAGTTGAAAGGCCGGGACTCGAAGTCGAGAACTTGGAAGCGGTAATTCGAGTTGATTGGTTCGATAGATGGGAGTTCAATGTGGGTCTGTAAGGATACGCAATGCGTCCTTTTACAACGCTCACGCTACTGCGGGCTGTTGTAACAAAGCGACCAGCAAGCATTTTGAGATATAAAAAATCGATGATATATGACAAGTGAATGAATGATATTTTTGGCTCTGATGAATATAAACTACGATTTCGAGACAGAAGGAATGAATGAATACTTATACCTCAGTTGCGAGGAGTCATAGACGGGTCGATACGCATGAAGCCCACTTGGCAACCCTGAATACGGCGTATACATATGCAGTCACATTGTCACGTAAATGTGTATGCCAATTTAGTCAAATATATAGATATCCTTAGAAGCGCAAGCGAAGTTCACATCATCAAAGTCATGAACGGTATTGTCTGCTGTTCTTATGGATTTACTTCCTGTTATAACCAAATCCCGACTATTTGGGAGGAGGGTAAGACAGGAGGGGAAAAGAATTTGAATTATGGAGCATGTTACTTAAGACAATAAAGCAAACTGTTCGTCACAGGCACTAATGGGGTAGTGGTAACCTCGGAGTTTCCCATCTTTGAAGATACTACTCTGGCCCCGTGTTCGATTCACGGTTAGTGCAATCTAACGATTGACGCCCATTGGAGAGCAACTCTATTCTTTTTTGGCTTTTTTCCTATCCTTTCCTCTGGACTTGGGGATTATTTTTGTTGGTTTCTGTATATGATGTATATGAAATTCAATGGGTAAGGTTCATTTTGGTTCTATATGAATGAAAATAGAGATCATATTTATGACTTAACTCATAAGTTGGAACAGGATATTTGAAAAGAGCTCAATAAGCTCTACTAATAATCCGTAGTGGTGGCTCAACTTACACCAGCCACTAGATCTATCCGCGGGGCAAACCTAAGAGCTTGGGCCACAAGTCGGGCGTCCTGGGTCTTTCCAGGGTTAATCTTAGCACTCAAGTTCCATGAGGTACCTAACTTAAACGTCACGATGTATTCTGCCAGCTTCTCTTTCCCTTGACACCACCCCCTCACACACCTCTCTACCACATATTCCGATTTTCTAAATTCTCTGCGATACACATCATACATAAATCATGAACGCCAAAGGCGACAAGATCGAGAAGATCATTGCTCGCCTACAGCAGCGGATCAGTGAGGGGCAGTTCTACGAAGCCCAGCAGCAGACTCGCGTCGTAGCAGCTCGATATACCAAAGCCGCCAACTGGGATGCTGCTATAAATATCCTCTACAATGTTGCACAATCGCTTCTGAAGGCGGGCCAGGGCGGCAGCGGTGGCGATCTCTGCGTGCTGCTGGTCGACATCTACAAACAGGCCGAGCTGAAGCCCGATGCTGTTACCAAGGGTCGATTGCTCACGTGTTTGCGCTTGTTCAACAGCGAGGAACCCACACGCAAGAAGTATATTGGGGAGATCATAGCGTATGTTGCGTTTGGTTGACTACCTAAGCATTGCGTCAAGCTGTCTACTATACTAACTAACGTCTGTCTAGATGGTCCTCCAAATTCGGCGAGTACCCCGCGGGTGACCCCGAGCTGCATCATGTTGCGGGATCGCTATATGCAGAAGAGCACGAACCGTACGATGCGGAGAGACATCTGCTTCTTGGAACGAAGGATTCGGCCGAGGTGTTGGCTCGCTTAGAATACGAATGGTTTAAGGAGGATGACGCACATACGGCCGCTTTATACGCCGCGCGGGGAGTGCTGCCGTATCTTCTCACGGGCAACATCCGATCAGCGAATACATGCTACCGACTATTCACCAGCGCCCTCAGCCAGGATAAGCAAGGCCAGCTTAACGTCCAGGACGTCAGCAGCAATAGCGTCGACATTCGGGTGTACCCCAGCATACCCCTCCTTAATTTCCTAGGGCTTCTGCTACTTGCGGTCCAGCGAGCTCACCCGGACCTATACAAGCAACTACACAGCAAATATTCTACCCTCCTAGCCGAAGTCGAGTCGTGGCATGAGTCCTTGGAGATCATCGCCGAGATGTACTTCGGCATCCAAAAGCCGCGACAGAGCAACCCGCTAATGGACATGATGAGCGGCTTCTTTGGCGGTAGTGGTGGGGGTGGCGCTGCGGCGGGCGGGGGCGCGAAGAGGCCGGCCCTGAAGGGTCCTACGTCGATGCCGGCTGCTGAGGGATTAGATTAGATTAGATAACTGTTTGGGATCTCGATAACCGTATAATTATCGTAGCTACGTATTCACGATGAATATCATTGCGGCCGGTGCTGCTCTTCCGGCTCGTACATCCAGTTGTCTTCGGCTAGGGCTGCTACTTTAGCTCTCATGCTGGCTCGGAGTGTCTCTAGGACCTCTTTTTCTTATTAGCATTGGGTAAACTTCGAGGTTATTCGCTTAGAGGCTATTCGCATAGTCTTACCTTCGGGTTGCGCTGGAGTGCGGTTGTGGTTTATTTGGTAGTGCTTGACTGCTTCTGCCAATCTTTGTCTCTCGCCTGTTGATACGATGCGTTAGTAGCCGCGCATCACAAGACACTACCCTGAAAACCTGATAACCTGATAGGCTCAATATAGTATTCTACGTACGCTCGCTCTCCTGCGCATCATCCAATGCGCCGCCTTCCTCCGAATCGTCTAGAGGGGGTGTAGGCGGATCACCAACGTCGAACTCGCCGTTCTTGTCGCGGACAACGATGTCAGAGGTATCGGACAGCACCTCGACGTCTCCAAGACGTAATGTCTCGGCGGAGTTATTGGAAGATTGCGAGGAGGTCGTGGGTGTTGGGCGGCGAGTAAGTTGGCTTTGGAATAGGTTGCGCCGTATGCCCGCTGTGTTCGTGCGCGCGGTTCTATTAGTGCCCGGGCGAGCGTGAGGGGGTGGACGGTCGGCCATATCTAATTGGCTAATTAAGGATGAAGTGTCTTGTTTAATTTATCGTGATTGGAAGAGTAGAGGAGAAAAGCAATATTAATTATGCTGATGGCATTTAAAGTGTTGCTGTTATGTTACTATTAAAGAAACAATGGCTAAAATGGTATCTTATCATATGTTGACATTCGACAAGAAATAAAGTCAAAGCAGGGACCAGGTTCCATTATTAGCTGCCCCTGTCTAACCTTAGGTAGGTAGCTTGGGCATTGTGGGGTAACCCTGTTTATAAGTGGCATGGGTGTTTATTACCTTGCCTACGAAGTACTTGTCTCGATTTATATAGCTCCTACCTTTGATCTCTCTGATGAGGGCCTTGAGTTTCCATTCCTATAAACGATCTTCTATTATCAATATCAATATCAATATCAATATCAATATCAATATCCAGCTCTCCATTAAATCCTCAAGGATTGGCATATCACATTATACCGTGGTACTCCCTACCATGGCAAACGCTTTCAATATTCATCCCACCGGCCGTTTCAACGGCGAAAGCGAAGCTGTAAAGAGACCTAAGGTATGTATACTTTACTTCGACTATACGACTATAATAGGAAGTCGTCCCCGACAACTAAATTTCTCGCTATAGGAAATAGCATGCTTCTCTTACGATGACAAGCGCGAGTTTCATCTAGATGATCGATCAATGCAGTGGTACTATCCTCCCACGCTCGGGGCCGATCTATCTAAAGGCTTCGATCGATTTGATAAGCATGACAACTCCAAAGATGAGCATATCGACAGTCTCCTCAAGACAATCATGGCTCATGAAGAAGAGGAAGGAAAGAAGATTGATGCGCACGTCGTTACTTGGCGCGGTATGATGACCAAGGTACGCTTAGCCGCGACTAGCTATATACTTGCTAGAAAAACTTATCTAATTCTCATAGATCATGTCGGCGCCCTTCGATGACCGAGATGGGTACGTAGACTTATAAGTGATGTCACCTACCTTCGAATTCTAACGTAGCATCTATCCAGGTTCGAGATGAATGCTACCCTTTACCAAGTGAGCGATCCGAATATCCTCCTATGATGTAATCTAAGCTGATTATTTGCTGAAGGATTGCATGTATGCTTGAAAGAATGTCACCAGCGGTATTTCCGCTAATCTGATAGCACAATAGCTTCATCGAAGAGAATTTTGCTTATGGTCAAGCTAAGCAACAAGAGCAACATCAGCAGCAACAGTCGCGGCGAGGACAGCAGTTCTCGCCGGATGTCATGACATACTGGGGTAAAGGAAGCAATCTCTATTCGAAAATTCTACTTAGCTTACCCTATTATAGGTTACAAATTCGAGACGCTGTCTTGTCTCCCGCGTCCCTGGGGAGAGGTCAATAGAGAAATCATTGAGAACAGAGACGAGGAAATTGTCAATAATAAAGCTCAGTATTGCTCTGTAGTTCGCACCGGGATTGGCAAGACGATCTTGTGTCTAGGAGGAGAGGTCGATGCTAGTAAGTCTTTACTTCCGCGTCTGGTTTAAAACATACTCACGAGGGGCATTTAGTCTGGGACTCCAAGCCAAAAGAGAAAGGTGCACCGATCAACTGGATCGAGTTGAAGACCAGCGTCGAAATTCGTGACAACAGAAGCATGCAGAACTTTGAGCGAAAGCTCATGAAGTTCTGGATCCAATCCTTCCTACTTGGCGTGCCGAAAATAATCGTGGGGTTCCGTTCACAGCAGGGGATTCTCACGAAGCTTGAAGAGATCCAGACGGCCAAGATACCTGAGACGGCTGCGAAGCGAGGTGTTAGAAGTTGGAATGCGAACGCGTGTATCAATTTCGCCAGCGCCTTCCTGGAGTGTAAGACCGACCAGAAATACACACGATCATTATATATATTCTAATGTAACTATAGGGCTGAGAAACACCATCAACGACGAGGGTGTCTGGAGAATAAAGAGACAACCCCGTTCCGGGGTTATTGAGGTGTTCAAAGTCGAGGAAGTCGGCCACGGAATGATTCTCACGGACGAGTTCATCAATTGGCGTATAAAGTTAAGCCTCAACAACAGTAGCGGTAGTTCCTAAAGGGACTTCTATCTAATAAGCTCTACCAGAGCTCGGTGGGATATGGATCTATGTCATCTATAACGCCAGCTCCTTTCTAGATACCCAACCATAAATCTATGCAATCTTAACCCTCTATCATATACCCCATGTCATATACATCTAGAACTCGCTTATCGGTTGAGTTTTACATGCATCTTACGTCGTGTGGGATCATAGCTAGTCCCGTGTTTAGGATTTCCATAAGTTCGTTCTCCGTGGGCATTGTCGTTTATGCTGTTTAAGTCTACCTCAAATGCCATATGGTTAAGGAAATTGCAAACCTATCACATGTTAGTAAAACCTGATGCGAGAGTGAGAACTAAAACAACTCACGGGCTTTCCATGCCATCGCCCTCCGCCAATCTCGAACCACCCTAGGTGTCCGCCAAGCGAAGTCGTACACAGCACCGTGTACGGATTCGTCGACGCCTCGGCGTACGGAAGTGCTAGACGCGAGACGATCGGGTCGTCCTCGGCGTTGAGCGCGAGAAGCGGGATTCGCACGGCGAGCAACGAGTCTGAGCTCGACGCGTCTCTATAGTATGCCTCTTCTGTGGGGTATCCCCACGTAGGACACTGGTAGGCTCTGTCAAATTCGTAGAGGTACTTTAGACCGAGTAGGTGGTCTGTGTCGATGTTGGTGTATTTGTCGAGTTCTTCCTTGTGCCGCGATGATAGGGCTCTCATGGAGTCTGGGGTGGGTTTAGTTTTGGGTTTGGGGTTTATTTGGGGGGTTATGGTATGGTACTTGGGAGGAAGAGAAGGAGAAGGAGGAGAAGGAGAAGGAGGAGAAGGAGAAGGGGAGGAGTAAGTACTTACCGCCGAGAACGCGTTGGTAGATGTGGTGTCCGATAAATGAGCTTTGCAGCATCTTGGATGATATGTGTAGAGCCCAGGGGTTGGCTACTACGACGGCGGCTTTAAGAGGGGTTGCGGAGCCTTCTTCGCCAAGATACTGATGATGGGTTAATATGACTTCTAAGTAATTTTCCGGTTCTCAGATGGATAGCTTACGTTTGTGAGAATGCAGGCTCCAAGTGAGAAGCCTAGACCGAATAGGGGACGGTTGGGATATGTTTTTGTGAGCCATTTGATAGTCTAGATGTACGTTAATATGAGTAGATAGCTAAGGGGCATAGATGGCAATGGGGGAGTAGCTTACTTGTCTAACATCCCAGGTAGCACGCGCATTGTAGAGCAATCCCGTTGTAATCTTACTGTTGGCGCAACCCCTCGAAGTAACGACGCAGGCCTCCCACTTCCCACTGTCAATCAACGGTGCAATAGCATATCTGAGATACACCTCATGCGAACCACCCGACAAGCCGTGGAGAATGACAAGCATAGGCCTATCATCGTCCGACCCCAGAGTCGAGAGCTCGTCCTCGGTGAAATACGCCGTCCGCGGGGGCAGAGTCTCGTCAGCCTCCCCCTTAAGCGAGGGATCCGTCACAGCGAAGTCCACGGCAAAACTGCCGTTGAACTCGGCGTGGTCCGCCTCGAAGATCTTCCGCTTGTAGTGCAGCGGCGGGCCGTGGGATTTGGCCGCCGTCCACATCGTCTGGGCGTGTCCGTTAAAAAGCAGCGGGTTCAGCTGGCACGGCGGGACCGTGGACTGGCATACTTTGAGCAAGTCCGTCTCTTTGCCGTCTTTCTCCTTCAGACCGAGAGGTTTCGGCGAGGTTGTGAAGTTGATACTGGCCCGTCCGAACCAATCCATTTTGACCGCTAGTACACTCCGTCTTGGTCCGGGGAGGGATTGACTTTTGCTTAGGGTCTAATGGGAATTGCAATTATATTGTATATACGTTATGATATTGTGTTAGTTAACTGAATTAGAAGGATGTATCTATGAGAATTAATCTAAAGATGAAGGAACATGTTGGTATATAATGTGAAGATGGCAAAATGGACGAGAAGGCCCCGTTATTAGGATAATATCGCCCAGGGGCAATTCGGTGTTACCGTCGCCCTCCACTTACCTCGGTTCATACCGCATTGGGCAATAGTGGTCCTACTCGAGTATGTCGTCGCCCGAGACTTGGGCACGGTGAAGAGAAAAGCGACTGGGCATGCAGTTAAAGCGTTGTATGTACTTGGTATTGGTATATCAAGAAACATAGCTTCCATCTAATACATTTAGTAAGTACCTAGGTACCCCCTAGTGTTCTGAAAATAGGTAGGTAGCATCTAAGTCCCTATTTTCGAATTGACTTTTTGAGCCGCAACTAAATCCTATCGGGGATTCATGGCAGCGGACGATGATACCTTCCTTAGGTACCTTATGGTAGAATAACGGCACACTAATAGACTGGTGGAACTGTATGTGGTCAATCGTGCATGTGCAAGACCCGAGGACCACCGATCTCGTGCAGCATCTAATCTCTTCACGGAAGAGCTTATGATAACCCCTTACGTCAATTTTAATGAGAGGGAAACCATGAACATTTGCAAAGAGTTACAGTAGGTAAACTCGATGTATTTAGGTACATAGACACTTATATAAGACGACGATAAGATAAAGTACCTAGGTAGGTTAGTGTATGTAATCGAAGTATCTACGTCAGTCAAGTCTAACTCTTTATAAATCACGTGACGTTACTCTACGACTTACAACGTCGCGGCGCGCGCTTCCAGCTGATCCTCTACTACTAATCATCTCGAACAATATCTACCGGTGTAAGATATCAACCTCACAAAACAGCAATTACCGATTTCAACGTAATATAATTGCGTCCCTATATAACATAGGGATGGTTCTGTATAGCGCGTAGTGCAATGAAATTATGACATATCGCGGCTCGATGCCCCATGGTCAAGGCTCGGGGTTCAATGGCCAGCAAACTCAATATCCTCAGGCCGTGAATAATGGCAACAATGGCTACGACGCCTGGGGCAACCCACAGTTTCATCAACCTTATCAAAATCCCGTTTTCGCTTCGACACCCTATCCGCCTCAACCGCAACCTCAGCAACATCCTCATCAGTACAATGCGCACCCGCAGCAGCAATCGCAAAATGCGAACTACCAGTTCCATTCGTACGACCCCTCCCTCGATCAGCGGCCTAT